CCCTCAACATTCACCGCCCAATCATGCTTGGAGTCCCACCAAGTCTCCGTAATCCCCACAATGTCCGGGCTGGTGTCAGCCAGCAGGAGGGCGAGTTCCTCCTGCTTGTTCCCCATGCTACGGGCATTAGTGTAGAGGCATTTCAGGCCTCCTGGAGATGTGGATACTGACCCCCTAGTCCCAGCGATCCCCTTATCCCCATCTCTTCAGGTGTCTGTACATGTGGCTATGGGTAGTTTTTCAACCACAACAACAACTGTGAGAGAATTCTCCCAGATTATCTGAATGTGTACATTCAGCCTTAGTAAAATATTTTTTCCAATCACACTTTTACAAAGGTAGTTATGGAATTTTTATGGTATGCATAACACGTCATAAAAGTGTCATGGTGAAATAAAGCTAGCCTATAATAGTTCAGCAAACATTTTTGTTTACTGGCCCTGTTAGTTTACGTGCCGCACATATAGTCAGCAGAGCCTTGTGCCATGACTGTAAACTTTTTATTTTAAAAAACCGTGTTAAAAACCAATACAGGAATTTCCATTTACGTTTTAAAAAAGTTTGTTCACATGTTGAAGGAAAATATGTTAGCAACATCTTCCAGCAGAATCCATCTTTAAAAAAGTAAAACTCTAGGTACAGAGCTGTCCTACAGTACATCCTCTACAGTTTAATTTAATCACATAATCGGATATCAGAGTCCTCTCTATCATCTTCTATAACTGGAACAAGGGTTTCTCTTAAATAGATGATATTCAGTTGGGTTACACATTGCCACAGATACTAAAATCATGAAGAGAGTGCACACTGCATTTCACCAACAAAGCAAGACTGTTCTATATACTGTCATACCTTCTCTAGCTTATAGAGTTCATTCAGTTATTCGCCTTTAAAATCATTTAAGTTTTCCAAGGAAAAATACTAAAAATCCAAGGGCTAAGTTCTGTGTCCACTTATATTCATGGGGTAGCTTGACTGTCAAAGCTGGTTACACAAAAAGCCTGGATATATTTATTGGGGTTAAAGCAGTACAAGTGAGAGCAGAATTTGACCCATGACTGTAAACATTCACAGAAGTTATATAGTACAGCAATCAGGAGATGTAACCTGCTCAGGGTATCATTATTATAATTCATGTAGGGGCAATGCTCAAAAGTATACCCTGGAGAAATATTTAAAAGAATATTTGCAGATCTGTAAGTGTTCCTGCCTAGCTAAAAACATACTCAATTAAAAAGCAATTCATTTCTATCTGAATACAGTACATTATTTCTAACTTTTCTTCTGGTCTGACTCAGATTAGAATTCAATTCAGCAGCAGGCCCATGACAACATTTCATGTACCATTTAAAAAAAAAAACAAGTCCAGTCAGTCTCCCCATGGCATCCTATTGATGCTATACAAATTACTCATGCATATAAAGGAGAGAATAGATTCTAAGAGCCATATAAGGACCTTGTTCTGTGCACACAACTCCCACTGACATTAACAAGAGTTATGCATCTAGGCAAAGGAACATCTACAGCCTTAAGTGTCTAATTTCAATCTAGGTGTTCTTTCTACATTAACCACACTTTACCATACAAAATGTAAAAGACTGAGAGGCAAAAAAAGATACAGAGTAGGTATACTATCATCCCCATATAATTTAGCTGCCAATTGTTTTATTTACAAAAATCAGTGTTTAAAGTCCCTGATCCTGTGAGGAACCAAACATTCAACTCATTAGGACTAGTGACAGTCAAGGATGCCCAGTTTTTACTAGACCAGACCCTGTTTTCTTTGTTAAGCAAAAGTATTTGTGAATTTGTTTGCAGTCAAACATAGGATCAGTTTCCCAGAACCACTTTACCCTCTTCGTGTCTTCCCTCTCCTTCCCCAACTCTAAATCAGGTCATGCTCTCATTGAAGTCAGTGAACATTATGCAACTGAGCTCAATGGGGACAGGGCCAGTCTGTGTCAAGCAACTACTGTAGTCTTCAAAAAAATGCCTCTCTTGTCAGAAAGATGATAGCATTTATTGCCATCCACTCTGGGGTAGACTTGTCTGCAGTGAAAATGGTGCTCCTGGTGCAGAGGGATAGCTGGCAAAACCATCAGTTTGAGCTGGATAGCTCTCCAGACCTGAAGCTGGATGTGCCTTCAAGAAAGAAAAACAAAATAGGTAAGAAAGTCCCTGCTTTTTAAAAACACAAAGAATAAAACAAGATGTGCATAAAATTATTCTTTAGCACAAATAAGAACATTCAATTAAAGCAATATTAGAGTAATATCCGATGGTCTACAGACAAGGGAAGCTGAACAAAGTTTCGACAGAGGAATTATTCCCCTGAAATGCTAGGGAGTGAAAAAAATTTCTGATTCACAGGGAGAGTAAACAGAAGGAAGATCAAATGTTTTCATTTTCTAGAGGGGTGGCCTCTCAGAAGACTTCAAGCAGGACAAGGTTTGAGAAGAGTTTCACTACTTTGTAGACCATTCTTTCCTAACTTTATTTTAGCTTTAAACTGAGGGTCCAAAGTGAACAACTTGTAATAAGCCCCTGCCTCCTTTAACTTGCAACACATTAGCTGCTCTTTGTTAGCAGCTTGTGTGCTTTGCAGCTGCCCCACCTTAAGCAGAGTGGCAATATATTAAGTGGTCTGCTTAAGATCACAAAAGGAACAGTGGTACTTAATATGCTGTCCAGAGATTCACTTTTGGTCCACACTGGCTCCATAGTCATATTGCTGGCTTTTATTAAACAACCATCACTGTTAGGGCTGCAGCACCACCCTGATGATTGCATCTGAAGTATAAACAATAAGAACCAATTTCAGCTCTCTTAATTCCTTAGCTGCTAAGGAATTTTGTCACTATTCTGAAAAGGTTGGTCTTCAAGGCTGTTCAGGAGAGATCAAGCAAGAGCCCAAGTTCTTTCCCAGGAAGATCCTAGGAATGGATAAAAAGTATATGCAACAGTGGGTACATCCACAAGTGCAATTAATGAGACTGAATATACTCCAGCTCAATTTGAGCCAGAGCAAGTTAATCCCAATGTCACTGTCAACATATGCATTTTGTGCTGCCAGATACCACTTGCATTTGACAGGACTATCCAGCAGTGATGTAAATTACTCTACTACGCCCTAATTCCCATGCACGTGTAGATGGCAATGCTTTACTATGCAGTAAATTAGTCTGCTGTGCAGTAAAAGCATCTCGTGTAAATACACCCACTGAGCTTAAAAAGAACTTCCACTTATCCAGCACTTCTCCAGAAGCTTGATTCCCTGTTATGGGGGACATTCTCTTCCAGAAGAAGAAATCAATCACAAAGCTCAGAAAAAGGCAAAAAAAGGTAAAAGCAGCACTCCGAGCAGCATTTCATCTGGCAAACATGGCAGCTAGGACCATGGCTATGGTCATGACAATAAAGGGGCTATATCCTACTTCCAAATGTCTGGGGTCCCCTCTGAATCTATATGGACAGACATTCAAGAGGAATTACTCTTGGTCAGAAACAGAACCCAGGGTCTTCCAGTCACATCGTCCATCAACTAGATCAAGAAAGCTACCACTAGGTCTTCTTAAATTTGTTCATTCTCATTTCAGAAAGGCTCTGACACATCCAGAGCTGACAGAGGAAACCAGATGTGCAGTGCATGCTGTGCATTATTTCTTGGAGAAATAAGACTGATCTTCAGACCGAGTTGTGCGACCTCATAGCTAACTCCTTATAAGAAACCATGCTTTAAAAATCAGTTCAATATTGAACAGTTAACAACTGAGCACCTTCTCAAGTGCAGCCTAGCATCACAAAATGGACCTTACCTGTAGTAGTGCTGACTGTGCTGCCGCACTGTGCTGCAGTTCCTGCAAGGAAGATTGTGCGGCACTTTGAGGAAATCCAGGGATGCCAGGAAGAGACAAAAGACCAGGGAAAACTGTATTTCCTGGGGTCTGCAGCCCTGAAGTCAAGCTGAAATAATCAATTAAAATACAGCAGTTATTATTACACACCCACGTTCTCAACTTAGTCTATTCTAAATTTCTGACTTCATAATATATACGCTAACAGCACCTCATTTTCTAAACATCAGGGTGCCAGATTTTCCCAACAGAAACCCAGCCTTCACCTACAGCATATGTACATGCACTAGGCAGGACATTCGTATACAAATGCACTTCAGCATGGGAGCCAGTACCCCATTTGCACATGAAGGTATTTGTAGGTGAAAGTTAGACATCACTGTTTGAAAAAAAAAAAAAAAAAATAGCACTGGATGTTTTACTTAATGCAGAGAAATCTAGGACATTACCTCCTATTTATACCCATGTATGTCCACTGGTACTTATTTTGGGCCCATTCATGCAAAATCCTAGCATGGCCTAAGAGGTGCCCAGTACCCTCAACTGGTAGCTAAGGACACTCAGCACCTTACAGGATAGGTTATGGAAACTGGGATGTTACAGACTACTTACTAAATATAGACTGGCCTCCTCATCTAACTGCTACAGACAGATAGAGATAGCCTGCTGCCATAAGGGAACTCTTTTCTTTTAATATTAAAAAGTACTTCATTTCTATGACTGAAAATACCATCTAGGTCTAAAAACAAACACACTTTTCCTGAGAAAAAGGAATGGTTTTGACCTCTTTCTGAAACAGAAACATACCCAGCCTGTGCAACAAGTGCAGAGTTGAAGTTTGAGCTAAAGGCCGAGGCAAACCCTGGCAGGACCGGAGCCGGAGATGGAGCTGTGGCAGCTGCCGGCAACGGTGCAACTGCTGCTACTGTGGAAGATGCCTGGAGGCCAGGGAAAGAAGGGAGAGCAGGAGTGACAGTGGGTGTGTTAGAGACAGGAAAACCAGGGAAGGATGGATTTGATGATCCCAGAGGCCCCTGGGTGACAGAAAATAGGGAGGGAACAGCACTAGACAAATTAAGCGAAAAGGGTGGAGCAGAGACTGTTGCTGAAGCAGCGAGTCCCGAGAGAACGACTGCTGTGGTATTCACATGAGCAGCAGATACAGCTGAAGCAGTAGTAGACGGAGCAGCTAACAAAGACCCTGGCAGAGTGACCGGGGGTGTAAGTGCTGGGTTACCAGTAAAAGCAAAGTTACTGGTCAGGGACGTGAAAGGAGGAAGTCCATTAAATACAGGGGCAATCGGAGCTGAGGAACCATGTGTGGCCAAGGAAATTGAGGCAAGAGAAGTGGAGCTGTTTAAAGGAGCACTCAAAGAGGAGAGACCAGATAATGCTGGATTAAGGGAACTGGGTAAACTGACTGGTACAGAAGTTGCTGAGGTATAGGCACGCCCAAGTGCTGACAATCCTAAAGTGCCATGAGAAGAGCCAGCTGAGTGAGAAGGGCCTTTGAAGGCTGAGAGAGTAGGGCTCATGCGTTCTGTTTTCACCAGAACTGGGATACTTGTGGGCACTGGGGCTGATGAAATTTGCTGCTCATTATTAGTGGGGCTGGTGCCATGCAAGAGGGAGGATGAGGAGCCACAGCTGACTGGTATAACAGAGGGTGAAGTGCTTAAAGGTGATTGTGCAGGCAATATTGGAGGAGTGGAACTGGGATTGGCCACGGAGGGAGAAGGAAGACCTTGGAAAATGGCGAGCCCTGGAGTGGAAGAGCGTTGTGGGGTGGGTGTAGCAGATGGAGTATAACATTTGTTTACAGAGGCAGCAGGAGGGTCAGTGCTTTGATTAGTAAGAGCAGACAAGGAAGCAAGCTCACTTGTCACAACGGAAGTTAAAGCAGATGAATTGATTAACGAGGTATCGTTCGATGGCAGAAGTCCCTTCAACACAGACAAAATTGGGTTAGGCAGGTTTAGTGAACCAGAGATGGTAGTGGCAGGAGAGCTAGCAATTGCAGAGGGAACAGGACTAGAAATGCCTTGAGGAGTGGGGGGCAAAGACAAGGGGAGGCCAGCAAAAACTGATGACAATGGAGCAGAATTATTAGCTGAAGCAATTGAGGTGGTTGCAGGAAAAGGCAGGCCAGCAAATGGTGCGGCAGCAGATGCAAAAGCCTCATTAGGTGCAGGTGTAGCACATGGTGTGGAAGAACTGTGCGGAGCTGGTGCAGCAGCTGGTACAGAAGCCAGGCCAGAGAAAACTGCAGGAATGGGGGTAGAGGTTGCGCTATGAACAGACGTGACAGGAACACCAGGCAATGAAAGGGATTTAATGACAGTAGGGGTTGGGGTAGATGGCTGAGATGTATGAATGGAAGAGGACACCTGTCCTGGGAAAACAGGAAGAACTGGGGTAGACATGCTCATCCCAGGGATGAGTGGAGTTGCAGGTGCTAATGGATGGCTTATTGCCTTGACAGGTGATGGGGTAGGGATGGGAGTAGCAGCAGATGTCGAAGGATTAGAACCATGAGGAGTAAAGAGCTGATTCACTTGTGCAGAAAAAGCTGCAAAGAAATAAAACTGGTAAGAATAACTTGAAACCGACAGAAATGTTTGTGTTCAATACAAATGCGTCTTATACAATTATATTTTCAAGTATGATACACAGTAGCTAACATACAAAATTTACATATGCACACAATCTACATGAAAGCCATAAAGTCAAAACACATGTATATATGTTTAAGTCACACTACCCATATTGTATACAGTATATGCACTATTAGGTATTTTTCCAAACCATTCCATAGCATTTACTATCACTTTGAACTAGCAGAAGAGTGTGCATCTTCAAATACGCTCCTGAAGATCAAGACAGGTAGGTGGCTAATAGTCTACAGTCTAGGACCAGCACTGCTACCCCTCCTCATTAGCTCCATTTGAGGGTTAAAATTTACTCCTGGACAGATAAAGTATGTGCACCAGGATTTTAAAGAGGGGTGGATTAACAATTCAGTCAACAACTACAGAACAGTTAATTTTAGGGCCCTGCCACACATTACACTTAATACGCAATTAACCAGTTAATCATGGTTTGAGTTGAGACCTGGCTGCACATTCAATCAATGGCATGATAAAAACATATGTAATGACTTTGTGGCTGTTTTGTATCATGCCATTAATTGAACATGTGGCTAGATTGTGGGGGGCGGCCCTTGCAGGCCTTGACAGCTCACCAAAACTCATTAAGCAGGACAAAGGGGGCAAAATACAGCCCGCAGGTCAGATCTGGCCCACAGCAGGTCCCTTGGTCCCACCTGGCCCAGGTGCTACCCAGCCATGGCATATCCTGCTGCCCCCTGGGCATGCAGATGGGCTGGGGCAGTTCTGTAGCTGGATTGCCCTTCTAGCTGGATTCCTACCAGCTGCCGCCAGCACCAACCCCCAGCCCCATGGTACTGGCAGGGACCCATGTGCATAGCCCTGACTCGGCACAGCCCCAACTCACCCATCCAGGCTCAGCAGCAGTAGTACACAGTAGGTGTGGGACCAAGGGAGTACAAAGTGGGCTGGGGTTGCATGCTGTTTGCAGTGGCAGGGAGGTGCCACAGGGCATGTGGGCTCTGGGCTGTTGCAGGGTGGAGGCAGCTGCTGAGAGGCTCAGGGAGGGCACATGTGGGGGCTCCCATGCACACTACACCATACCCTCAAACCCTCCCACACAACCCCACAACCACAAACATTGCACAAGCCTCTGGGGAGGAGCCCCACTCACTGCCACACACCCACACCCCCCCAAGGTACCCTCCCCCTCCACACACCCCCAAACCCTATACCCAACATATCCCCACAAACCCACCTATACCCACACACCTACATCCACA